ACACAGAGTGAGCGTATTTTAAATGTTTTGACATGTTATGGCATATGTGATTGGCAGCTGCTTTGACTAAAGTTGTATAGGCACTGACCTTTGTATGAGAATTTGGCATAAAAGTTTGCCACCAGAACTCAACTTTCAAAGGCTAATATAGTTTGAGCAACACTATGAAACTGATATTTTTGCTTCTGGGTGCCCCCTACTGTGAACACCCACTGTATTGTGTTAACTGCTGTCAGCAGGAAGATTGACTCAGCTTGTGTCCTGCCATCTTTGGTTTGAAAAATCTTGCTGGTGCAAGATTTGCTCTTAACTGACTTCTTGCTTATTCACTTTTCTTTTGTCTTCTTTGCTTCTTCAGTCAACTTCCTGTTTGGTTTCCTTGCAAATGCCATGGTGTCAATAGAATGACAAGCTAGAAGAAGCTAGGTCTCTATTCATGACGATAAAGACCTAGCTTTTCCTATAATTAGCTGTGGCCTGTAATCAATAGTTAATGGTGTGTGACACTGCTGTAAAACAGTTTTTCTAGTTTAGGTCGATGTACAATGAAAATTGGCTATGAGGCTGCTAATATAGGTCAAATATTCATATAATTTTCAACTTGTTGAGAAGTATCCTTGATGTCTAGCAAGCAAGCCTGTAAACTAATATGCAGTTACTTTGTTTTATTTTTATAAAGTTATTGTGCAGATGATCAGAAAACAATGGCAGCCTCTATCACTGGCATCGCGTTTGCATGGAGAGAAAAAAAAAGTGCCTTTAAAGTAAAAACATGCAAAAAACCTTCCTAAAAAACAGTACATACATAATGCATCTTCTTGCCTCAACACAACCCCACTTTTCAAAACCAACACTATGACATTCACACTCACTTTCATGTGAAGTGGATATGTGGGGTTTGATATTTTTTTGTCTCTAACTTTCTGTTTCTGTCGCTTTTTATTTCAACAACCGAGTACCACGACGGCTGGCTTTTCATTCGCCTTTGAGCATGGCAGTTTGGAACATCCATGACGATTTCCCTGTGAGAAAACATCAAACAGACTGTTTGTGACTGAGCATAGCCCAACTCTTACCCTTATCTTAACCTAAAGCCAACATAACTCTTCAAATAAGAAAAGCACAAGAACACACACTCGCAAACTGACTCTGCGGTCACAAGCTTCTCTGTTTCATAAATCTGCAGTGGAGCTAAGGGATAGATCGTTTAGGGGCTCAACATACAGCAGCAGCCTGACAGTGACTCATGCAGCAGAACTCCATGTGCCTCAAGTACATAAAAAGTTTAAGAGGGAATAATCTAAAAGCTCCGGTTATAATTCTCACCTGATGTGTTACAGGAAGAGTGAGTTCACTGTGGCGCACCAGCTCAGCACACCAGCCCGAACTCCTTCACAAATCCATAGAGGATTTGCCCTTTTTTTGATGAAGCTCGGCTACTCATCTTAACATTCAGGGATTGTCCCGCTCTTTTTTTTTTTTTTTTTACCAACTACACTTTATATTTTTTAAAAACAGATTATGCATTCTCCAAGTTTACCGTTTTTTAAACAGCGGAACCTGTTGATACTGCGTGTTTTTCTATCCTTAAAGATGCATAGGCTGAAAAATGGAATTAGCACCATCGGACAGTAGCCCATCTCCCGCCTACCTCATCATCACGCAGAATGAACACTAAAATGAAAAACCGACAAGAGCAGAATCGTGCAACAAAAACGCAGCTATCTCCTTTTAACCAGCTCCTGTCTCTTTCGTTGCCACCATTGCTCAGTTTTCTGCCAGCCAGCTGCCAGCAGATGAGAAGTACTGATGCTTCATCACTGCAGAGACATCCTGTCTGGGATAATAGAGTTGCTGTCGCCTGACCCTCTTTTGGCCCCACATGTAAATATTTGTCATGCCCTGCAAGCTGAAGTGCACCGCTTCCCCTCCTTTGGAAAACAAACCTATTATTATCTGCTTTTTTTTTTTAAACATATGATGACGGGAGTGTTTCGGGGCTTTATTGGTTGTGTAAATCCAGATGGGTTCATCCTGGTGTGATGCTATGATATAACCGAGCAAATGGTTTTAAAATGACATTTTTGGACTGATAGAAACCAGGAGATTCTGGAAACAGTTTCAAATGTTCACATTTTACCATTAGGCTTTTTTTTTATGTTTCTTTGTCATCCAATAAACCTCCCCCACCCCCAAAAAAGAATTAATAATTATCAAACCTTTAGCTTTGTGACTAATCTGCCACTTAGGTTGAATCACTGTGTTATTCACCGCTGCGTGACAAATCTCCAACAAAGGACCTTTCAAGAACTAGAGTGGTTTTTAAGAGGCTTTCAAATAAGCAGGAAAAAAACAGGAAACAGGATTCAGTAGTATTTTAAAGATATTAATATCTTTAATCGCCTAGGTAGAGTTAAACTAAAACTCATCTCATCTGATGATCACTCTGAAGCTTTTTACCCCACTTAGCAGAGTAAGCAGCATATTAATGCTTACTATTCTGTGCAGTTACTTATTCCAGTTTAAATTTATAGCTAATTACATCTCCATTCTCTTACAATGAATGAGATTTATCTCTGCTTCAGAGTTTAGAACCACTGAGCTGCCTCTCTCTACAGCCTGCACATTTTACATCTTTCGCCGCGATGCTCCCCATCCCCAGTTGGCAGATGACTCACTGAATGTATATTTATCAGAACATACATGCTTTGTCTTTCGTAGCCGACTCAAAATTTAAATGAATGTGATATAAATCTGCTGTTCCATTCCCTAGCACACATCTGCCCTCCAATCATGTTTAATATAAGATTAGCTATAATTAGATTTGTGGCTTGCTAAGGATTTATTCTTGTGTAACCCGCTATTGCTAAAATATAAAGGTCATTGCATAGCTCGAAGACATCACTTAATAATGATGGCTGCTGCTGTTCAATGACAAATCTTTGTTCTAAATGTAAACACAACAGTGCTTCATTCAGATATCAGCCAAAACTCAATACCAGTGCAATATCCCAACATGTGTCGCCAGTTACAATTTCAAACTGCAGTCAAGTCAAGAGCCAAGAGGAAAATATTCATCTTCAGACCCTTTCCTCTGTGTTCCCTCAAAGCAAAGGTGGCTGTTGTAGCCATCGACCCATCCTCTTTCGGGGAGCTTTGCCTCGCGGGATGCTGGCCTCTGGATTGCCCCCTTAAGCCTCCCTTCATTAGGGTCATTGCTGGGAGAGATTGAAGTGGGGAGAGTGTTTGCTCAGTAAAGCTGCTTCTTAAAGCCTTCACAATCCTGAGGGGAAACGAGGGATTAGACTAATGAGGACAGAAGATGGCTATCATCTGTGAATAACTGACCTTGACAACACATTATTGATTTGGGTATTTTAGAACTGAATACTGTAGTCTCCAGTGACTGATTATCATGATACTGGAGTTTACATGTATAACCTATATGGTATATGGATGGTTCCCAATTGATGTGTCGAGGCTCGCTGGTTCCTTAAGAAATTTTGTAATTTTGGGTTAGATTTTTCTTTTTAAACATACTTACGTACTTACATATGTAAGTTATTTGCTCTGTTGAAACCCATTTTAATATACTTAACATAATTTTGAGCATCATTATTTTCCATGTTTTTTTAAATTTATTTCCAATTAATTCATTTCAATTCCGTTTTTTTTTTTGTTTGTTTTGATATAGTGCCAAATCACAACAACAGTCGCCTAAAGGCGCTTTATATTGTAAGGTAGACCCTAATACATACAGAGAAAAACTCAACAATCACCCCCTATGAGCAAGGAATTCTTCAAAAGTTTTCAATCTGTCATGTTTCACAAAGAATGAAATACACACATGCAAGTACTACCAAAAACACAAAACAAAAACTCTTTGCTGGAGGTCAGTTTTAGCTAACTAAAATTTAAGCTGTCACCTTATATCAGCTCACCTTATATTTATTGCAGCAAGATTTGCCAACAGGAGCAAGAACTCCAACCCATGTCCAGTGGTGGTGTACAGTTTGTGTTTGTTAGCTAGATCATTTTCTGACTCACAAGCCAGGTGCTCAATATTGAAGTGAGCAGGTTCCATCTTTGACTCAAACACTGTCCTCTCTTTTATCCAATAATGAGTAGCCTGCATCAGAGCAGATACACCGGCCATGATGAGATAAAGACAATTGATGTTTGTGTGAGGGATTAGCAGTGTTTGTTTTGGCATAAGAGATTAATGATATATCATGTACTTTTTCCAAAGATAAAAGGAAAAAACAACAGGAAAATTATATAGAGATGACAAGGGTGGCACAGACAAGTAAGCTTCCTAACAACCAATTTGAATTTCCTTAATTTTCCACTGATTACCCATGTTATTTCTTGTGGAGGAGGCAAAGATGATCAGACTTTTTTCATGTAAATGTGCTTAAGCTACAGAATAGCAGGCAGGACAGTCAGCATTAATGATGTTCTCTCTAACATGACACTGCCCTCAGTACATAGTAACCAGTGCACATTCATTTCATGTATGTAGCAGTGTTTGTTTAGCAATATGCATTCGATATTCTAATTAATAATGAGAAACCAAAGAGCCAGTTGCTGTCGATTTAGTCTGAGCAAACAAGAAGGAGGGAAAGAAGTTTTCTTTGCATACCGCAATCAATAGATGGCAATAGAAAAATAGTCTGTGCCATCTTCCTTCATTTTGTTTGCAATGGACCAGATATACACAACAAGCTGAATAACGCTGTTGTATCACTAACAAAAATCAAAAAATTGGGACACCGTTGTCTTCAGGATTGCTGACTCACTTTTGGTCGAAGCTGGAGTTATAAATGAGAACATGCAGCATGTAAACATGGGGAAAACAGGGGATTCCTTGAAATTGTGTTAAATCTACATCCCTGCTCTTAGTTCTTTTGCCTCTGGTTTAAGAAAAAGTCCTGTTCACACTGAGACTTTTACATTAGATTACATTTTTTAATCTATTATTCTGTTTGTTTCACCCACAGTACCCGTGCGCAGTCTCTTCAGGTTGACTCGGTCCAGCGGTGGATGGAAGACCTCCGTCACATGACGGAAGTAGAGTGCATGTGTGTCCTCCAGGCCAAACCCATCGGGGTAGAGGAGGACTCTCAGCAGGGAGAGCTGATTGTGGGCTCTGGGGTTAGTGCAGGGGACCACGTGGCTAGAAACAACTTGCAGACGCTCCTTCGCCGAGCTTTGGTGGTCAGCACAGAGCTAGGAAAGATGTTTCAGCGGCTGGAGAAGGGACGCTGGCAGAGGGTCCACAGCACGGCTGTACGGGCAAACTGCCATGTTCGCTCACTGGTACATGAGTACAGTGCAGCTCGAAACACACCGCTGGAGATGCAGAAGGTGATGGTTGACTTTGAAAATTAGGTTTGCATACATAAAAATGTGCCCATTTTACAGTAATGAAAAAAACTGAACAATGTTTCTTTTTAACTGGAGCTGTTTGACATAAGCTGAGCTTACATTACTGAACATTATTTGCTTATCTGTTATCTACAAATACCTGCAGTTATACCCCACTGACAGGCCATTTATGTTTAGAACTGTGGAGGTCTGACCACTTAAATGTGCATGTTTTGTTGTAGTATGAGAAGTCTTTGCTGGAAAAGTGTATGGAGCTGACTAATATTACAGAGAGGTAAAATCTACAACGTTAATATGCAGTAATTTAAAAAACTCCCAAACAAATACTTTGTTTTTCTAAATCAAACATTTGATTTGCACCCACAGGTGCCTTCACACTGACGATGAATTCTTCCTGAAATCTATGAGGGAGGCCATCCATGAGATCCTTACAGATGTCAGTGACTCGTTCAGCAACATGATTGACATGGCATTAGCCAATGAGATCCGGGTATGTAGTTTCTGTATTTGCGCATATTCCATTGTGTGCTCTGCAGTGTCATGTGTTTATAATTTTGCTGATAGGTTGAGGTGTTGCTTTGCCTAATTTATAAGAGTGTTGTAATCAGTGGTGTAAATAATTCAACTCTGAAGTAAGAGCCAAATAATCTCAGGGTTGAATTTAGCAAAGTTTGTTGTTATGGAGTGATCAAAAGAAAGAAGAGAGTTTTGGCGATGGGGAAGACCAAGATTTCAACAAGGAACATACATAGTTTGTGACTTACAGTTAGCACGAGGAGCCTGATCACCACGGCTACTTTCAACAACAACCTGGAGAAGAATGTGAGCTTCAGCTGGTCCTTAAGTACTGGATGGAAATGAGTGAATCCTAAAAGGTGTGTTCGCTGAAGCGTGGAGTCCCACAGCAGAACCTGCCCATCTCCACCTAAGAGTAGGCTGAGAGGAAAAGAACCAAAGCAAAACAAAACCCTAAATAGCCTCCCGATTAATAGATCATCGTTACAGTGTCATGTAGATAAATAATTTTTGTATAACTAAAAGAATTAAAGAGAACTAACAGGCTCATTTCAGACAATTTAAAATATAAATGGAAAGAAATTGTAATTAAAGTACCTACACATACCTACCTACTGGTAAAATGCTTCCACCTGGTGGTGAAGGCTATCATTTAAATTTTGTGGCGGGTAATTGCAACAAGTGCCTTTAATCATGGTGTACAGTCCTGCAGATACTGCTGGCTACTCTTAGTTCTTTTTTTTTCTAGACAGAGAGTTAGGGGCAACACGAAAAGTTGCCAGTAATATTATGTCAATCAACCAATCAGTCAATCCTATAAATGCAGTCTATTGTTCTCTGTCCCACTTTAAGCAACACTGACTGTGATGCCGTTAAAACAGATACTGTGTATAGTAATATTTTGGATCCAAGCACACACACACACACACACACACACACACATATATATATATGTATATATATAGTTACACTCCATGTGTGGGTCAGATAAGAAGGAGAGAAATTGTCCCTTGATTGTTGCACACTTATAGAAATAGACTTAGAAATGCCTGTCATGTTTGTGCTATCCAGTGGTTGTATCGAAATAAGATGACACAGCTGACACCATAACAGTATTAATGAGCCACTAGAAACAGATTTTTGCATCATGTCGTCAAAAGTGATGATTTGAAATGTGTTGAGTTGTGAATAAAATGATAAAGATGTCAATTTCCTTGCAGGTTCTGATCAAGCAGATTGAATCATCGGACAGCCTTCATACCATTGGTAGTGCCATTAGCAACCTGCTGTCCCTAACCCAGGATGGACCTCAGCTCTGCAGCATCATTGCCAAGGTACTCGGGACATAAAAATAGACTCTATGCTATCCTTCTTACTACATTTAGAGAGCAACTGGGACCTTGCTTCATTTTATTCACTCCTGTGGAAAGTCCACCTATACCGATGTTTGTCATTCTAACCAGCAGACCTGGCATTGCCAGCTATCTTATTATACATGCCTCTATAAAGCTATTTCACTGTGAGATAAGAAACGACAGACTGGACAGCAAGTCTGTATTGGCCATTAGTTAGCTGACTGCTTTCAGGATGCTTTTGATAAGACACTTCCTGGCCCACTCATACACACACATACACGCTCTTTGCAGCCAAATTGTAAGATCAATACTGTCAGCTCTCATTAGTCGTAAGTATTGATTACACATTCAGGTTGCTCAGGTGTCTTTACCTTTTAATCCACTCTTGCTTTTTTAACCAAGCTCCAGGGCTAAGAAAGTAAAGCCATGTAAAAATGAGGCTGTTTCTGCAAAGCAAGTCAGTCCCCATGGATATCGTTGAGCTTTGCAGAAACAAATTAATGTTTACAGTGTGGTACTCTTAAAAGTTAACAAAGGCTTCATAGCAATCATACAAGGGTACATTTTCAACCATTTATATCTAGTTTAAAGATGAGATCGCCTTAAGTGACAGGTTACAGGTCATCTTCACTTCACCTCCACATAAATTATCTGAATATGTGGCATACTGCTTAATTATACCAACAGCCTGTCAAGGAAGTCTTTGCTCCTGTTTCAGTGCTCCAGGACCCAGTATTATTTTTTCAGTATGTTATTTTTGCAGTATGGCACATATTTGATCGCATGTAGTCTATTTATGAAATTTGCTAATTAAGCTTTGTGATCATTAGATAATAACTTAGCACTCCACTCCCCTCCAAACACCAATCTCAAGGCTTCAAAACTGGGCTTTACAAACCAAAGGATGATGTCACAGTGCCTACATCCATCCTTTAAATACAGTCTATGTTCTTAACTTGGTGTGTAGCAGAGCTGGACGAACCATCTCAGAGGAATCCTGAAACCCACCATAGTAAATAATTTGCTTTCAGCTATATGTCTATTACACTTTCTCACACACCCCTTTGATGCATAACATCAGCTCATATTTGAACATTTTGCTCATTACAAATTTTCCACTGCTGCTGACTTCACTCGTGCACTGAAGAACAGCAATTAGCCATTTAAATGTCTGGGTGGGGACCTGATATCTCCACCCTCTCCATCTCTATGCCAGTGTCTTTGTTGATGGGGTGATTTTAGTGTTAGATAAAAAGATAAAAAGGTTAAAAAATCAGATTGGTGGACTCCCATGATGTTAAAAATCATTGTAGCTATCATACAGCTTGAGCCAGTGAGGTACCTTAAAAGAGGAAATAGTGTGATAATGATAACTTGTAATTTGCATGACAACAGGAGTAAAGATTTGCTGCTTTTGCTTAGTTATTGATTGTTGATGGTTGTTGTTGTTATGTCAAGTGTCGTACTCTAAGATTTGTCGTGGAATCATCACATCACACATAATATAAAGTAAATAATCAGTTTGTAAAATCTGATGAAATCCATGTGGTGCAGGGGTGGAGTCTAGCCTTTAATGCAGGTCCTGTGACCCAACCCATGATTACACAAATGACTTGACTACACAGTGGGAGCGGTTGTGGCTCAGGACTTAGAGCAGGCCATCTAATAATCAGAAGGTTGGTGGATCCAGTCTGCATGTTGAAGTATCCTTGGGCAAGACAATGAACCCGAGTTGCCTCTGATGTGTCCATCGGAGCATGAGTGTGTGTGCAAATATTAGACAAAGCACTTAGGTACAGAAAAAGCGCCTGCATGAACGTGTGACTGGGCGAATGTCATTTGTAGTCAAAAGTGCTTTGAGTGCAGTTACAGTTAAAAAAAACCCCACTTTATAAGTACCAGTAGGTAAAGTGCTGAACCTACAGGGTCAGCACAGCCAACCAGTAAATCACTGTGGGTTTTTCACTATGAGTTACTCCTTTGACACACAGAAAGTCATTTGATCAATTGTAATATTTTAAGTTGATTATAGAAGCTGTAAATAAAATGTACAGTGTTCAGTGCAGTAAGTAAATCACATGTATTAAAACTGTGCGTTTCCTCAACTTGCAGATATTTTATTGAACCTACACCTGAGGAGGATTTTTTAAAAAGCGCTGCACAAATGATTTAAATTGAAAATATTAAAAAATATGTGTCAACAAATTATTGTCAAGTCTATCAACTCTCATGCCCTGATTTTAATAAGCCATTATTTCAAAAGATATTAAGTATTTTTTTTCTCTCTTGTGATTTCAAACCCTTGTAGGTGATGTTTTTCCAAAGCACTTCTCTGTAATTGACAGCTTATCAGACCCTGAGTATTCACACCATCAAGGCTGATTTGGGACGGTTGACTGCACACATCTGTCATACCAAACAGATCAGAACAAATCATACAAATTATCGCTGAACACTATTCATGCCTGCCTTTAGCTCATGACCCACTCAAAATGACAAAACAAACAAAATAAATGCCCACCATATTCATCTAAAAGCATCATTTATTCTTTAATCCATCAAATTCAAACTATTTTCTTTTCTTTGGTGTTTTAGAGATGAACCATAGTTATACATGCCTACCTTTTTATAGTCATTTACATTTTTTATATTTATATTTTTATATTTTCTGCATGTCTTAGGAATAAAACACATCAACCAATACAGTAACAACATTCAGCAGCCTGGCAGAAAGAGCAGTTGTCACGGATTTAGCAGTGTCTGCAAAGCTGGATTCAAGAAGTGTTTAAAGTTAACGTTTTTAGAGCATTTAAAGCACCATCTTGTGCCAGTATAGAACGTGACATCACTAGGTTGTTTGGTTGGTTTGCCACTGGTCTTTAAGTGATGACATATGAACCCTGCTTCCAGGTCCAAACTACTCTGCGTTTAATAAGGTTCTTGTGTTTTTAACACGTTTTAATGCTTTGTATCTTGTTCTATTTAATCTGAACAAGCCCCTAAAAAAGGCAGTGATAATTGTTGGCCTCGCTCGGTTTTTATTACCACTATTCATTTTAAAGCTCAGTTTTTAAAACCTTACGATGTAACTACAGGGAGTGCAGAATTATTAGGCAAGTTGTATTTTTGAGGAATAATTTTATTATTGAACAACAACCATGTTCTCAATGAACCCAAAAAACTCATTAATATCAAAGCTGAATGTTTTTGGAAGTAGTTTTTAGTTTGTTTTTAGTTTTAGCTATTTTAGGGGGATATCTGTGTGTGCAGGTGACTATTACTGTGCATAATTATTAGGCAACTTAACAAAAAACAAATATATACCCATTTCAATTATTTATTTTTACCAGTGAAACCAATATAACATCTCCACATTCACAAATATACATTTCTGACATTCAAAAACAAAACAAAAACAAATCAGCGACCAATATAGCCACCTTTCTTTGCAAGGACACTCAAAAGCCTGCCATCCATGGATTCTGTCAGTGTTTTGATCTGTTCACCATCAACATTGCGTGCAGCAGCAACCACAGCCTCCCAGACACTGTTCAGAGAGGTGTACTGTTTTCCCTCCTTGTAAATCTCACATTTGATGATGGACCACAGGTTCTCAATGGGGTTCAGATCAGGTGAACAAGGAGGCCATGTCATTAGTTTTTCTTCTTTTATACCCTTTCTTGCCAGCCACGCTGTGGAGTACTTGGACGCGTGTGATGGAGCATTGTCCTGCATGAAAATCATGTTTTTCTTGAAGGATGCAGACTTCTTCCTGTACCACTGCTTGAAGAAGGTGTCTTCCAGAAACTGGCAGTAGGACTGGGAGTTGAGCTTGACTCCATCCTCAACCCGAAAAGGCCCCACAAGCTCATCTTTGATGATACCAGCCCAAACCAGTACTCCACCTCCACCTTGCTGGCGTCTGAGTCGGACTGGAGCTCTCTGCCCTTTACCAATCCAGCCACGGGCCCATCCATCTGGCCCATCAAGACTCACTCTCATTTCATCAGTCCATAAAACCTTAGAAAAACCAGTCTTGAGATATTTCTTGGCCCAGTCTTGACGTTTCAGCTTGTGTGTCTTGTTCAGTGGTGGTCGTCTTTCAGCCTTTCTTACCTTGGCCATGTCTCTGAGTATTGCACACCTTGTGCTTTTGGGCACTCCAGTGATGTTGCAGCTCTGAAATATGGCCAAACTGGTGGCAAGTGGCATCTTGGCAGCTGCACGCTTGACTTTTCTCAGTTCATGGGCAGTTATTTTGCGCCTTGGTTTTTCCACACGCTTCTTGCGACCCTGTTGACTATTTTGAATGAAACGCTTGATTGTTCGATGATCACGCTTCAGAAGCTTTGCAATTTTGAGACTGCTGCATCCCTCTGCAAGATATCTCACTATTTTTGACTTTTCTGAGCCTGTCAAGTCCTTCTTTTGACCCATTTTGCCAAAGGAAAGGAAGTTGCCTAATAATTATGCACACCTGATATAGGGTGTTGATGTCATTAGACCACACCCCTTCTCATTACAGAGTTGCACATCACCTAATATGCTTAATTGGTAGTAGGCTTTCGATACAGCTTGGAGTAAGACAACATGCATGAAGAGGATGATGTGGACAAAATACTCATTTGCCTAATAATTCTGCACTCCCTGTACAGCCCAGCCCATGCAGCAGTATATTAATGACTAACCTTATATTGTGGATGGATTATCTCAGTTGTTCTCCTAACTTGGTCCGTTTACACCATCCTGCCATGCAATGATATTAACTTTTATTGAGTGGAAAAAAGTTAGCATTCATCCTCCAGCTTCAATGTGTTTACGTTATGCTAACATAGCTGTCTTGCTAGCCATCACGTAGCACATCATTATATACCAGCTAGTCCAACTTCAGTAACCCTACAAATATCACTGCTGTTTAGTTTTCTGTCTTCATTTATGTTGGAAGTGATAGCAGAGCTGTACGTTTTAATTTTTTCAGAAATCTCTCAGTCAGAACATGGTATATCATGCTTAGGTGGAAACTAGCGAGCTAACTTCCTGCTAACTTCTAACTCTGTTAAATTTAATAAATTCTGTTTTCATGGATCACAATTGTCAATTGTCATTTTATTAAAGATGAAAAAATTGAATCAGTTTGTAACTCTCAGTGATGCCGCAGTATTTGTTTGACTTTGGGACCCGAAGCAGAGTTTGGACCCTGAAACGGCTAATGACGTCAGACTTAAAGACCGGATGGACTTACATTAGTTTATGTTAGCTAACTGATAGGACCGATAACTCAGTGGAAAACAAGGCAATTAAAACGGAAAAGAAGCCTAAAGAGGTCCGTTTTGTACTGCTTGTGGCTACAACAATGGCTTTTATGTTAAAAAAAAGAAGAGGATATACCGTCCACTTTTACTTTCTGTCTTTAAAGCAACACGTTTTTCATTCTTTACTAGCTGCACTCAAACTGGAAAATCCACCTGTTTGCTGTAATGTTTGGGTTTCTAGAGCACTTTACAAATGAGGACTGTATGGAGGAGAACCTGTTTGAGTCAGGTGCGCTGTATTAGACTCCATGGTGTAAGTTAGCCATTATGTGGTGTTTCATGTCAGCTTTAATACTGAGCCATGTGCCACACCATAAATCAAATAGCAGCTGGAACGCTGGAGAGTGACTGTGTCATGATGTGCACGCGAGTTTGCGTCCTCAGTGTTTACCTACTGTCATGATAGATCTCAATCTAAATTTGTCCATGTTGGCAGACTTGTCATATGTGTGTCCTTGCTCTGATAGCTGTAAACTGCAGGGCGTGTAGAGCATGAAATGGCAATAACTCAGGCCTGGTGAGAGCCAGTGTGTCATCAAAGCTCTGTGGGTAGAAAGGGGGCTTAGAAATACTGTAGATCCCATGAAGCTCTCTAATTTGACGTCCCTTTTAGGATCAGATGAAAGATACCTGCCAGTCTCCCTTCATTTTCATCTTTCTCATCCCTTAAAGCACAAAGTCTTTCTTTATTTCTTTCTTTCTTTCTTTCTTCTTCTTCTTTTCTTTCTTTTTTTACAAACCCTGCTGAAAACTGCCTGTAGTTGCATGTTTGGTGTTTACAAGCGAAACAAGCCCAGAGAGCACGACTCAGGAAGTTATAAGATGGAAACAGATTATACACCGTGTAGGGTTATACATGCAAACACGCAGATAAAGAAGCATTTTCCAGTGAGTAGCCAAGTTTCACTTGATGTTATTGCAACAAGAACCAAAATGCGTGAGTGTGAGAACAAATGTGTTCTGTGGGCTTAATTTAAGAGATGGGGATGAAGTCAGTGGAAGCAACAAGTGCAAGTTGTTTGTCAGAGAAAAGAAACAAGCCAACAAGTCTAATAATCTGTAAAAGAAAAGTCTGTGGGGATGAAATAATAGAAAGGTGCTTCCACCAGAGAGTGACGATTGTCTGAACAAATCTCTGTAGTCTGTTCCTCTGAGCCATTTCTATTTATTTATTTACTTTTTTTTTTTTACAGTATATTAAGAAAGATCACAGAAGATCTATGAATCTTCATCCAGTTATGGTACTTTGCTTGAAACAAGACTAAGGCCTACAGTTTTGTGTCTTTTTGTTAGTAGGTGCTAGTATTAAAAAACTGAAGCAATATAGTTTTCAGTTTTATTAAACCTGCTGCCAACAATACACATATTACATTCAGTTAATTTAAGGTAGATTATATTTTGGGAAGATGATGGAGGATGGTGGCAGCACGGTGGCAAGGTGGTTAGCACTGTTGCCGCACAGCAAGAAGGTCCTGAGTTCAATTCCACCATCAGGCCGGGGTCTTTCTGTGTGGAGTTTGCATGTTCTCCCCGTGTTTGCGTGGGTTCTCTCCGGGTACTCCGGCTTCCTCCCACCGTCCAAAGACATGCAGCTTGTGGGGATAGGTTAATTGGATAATCCAAATTGCCACTAGGTGTGAATGTGAGTGCGAATGGTTGTCTGTCTCTGTGTGTTTGCCCTGCGACAGACTGGCGACCTGTTCAGGGTGTACCCCGCCTCTCGCCCCATGAGAGCTGGGATAGGCTCCAGCGCCGACCCTGAAAAGGATAAGCGGAAGCGAATGGATGGATGCAGGAGATACAGTTTAAATATATCTGAAGCTTAAACAAACAGTGCATTTATAACAGCTGATCTTGGTGTCAGCCAATGGCACACATCCTATGGGAAAATGTCATAAAGGGCACGATATCGATTTAGTTTAACTACAGTTGCTGCTGTCTCTGTAAGTCGCTTTGCAACCCACCTGCACCCCAGCTCCTCCTTTCCAAGCTGCATCTGACTTCAACTGAGTTCAGTTTTATTTATATAGCAGCAAATCCAACACACAACAGTCACCTCAAGGTGCTTTATATTGTACATAATAATGTGTAAAAAACCCTTAATACTTATACTTAATAAAATGTATTTCTGATGCTGGCTGTGGCACTGCGAGTCTTGATATTGCTCTTCCATCCTAAGGCTTTGTGTGCAAATAGAAATGCAGGAAGTTCCTGGACCATACTGCCAAATATAAATGACTGCAGATTAAATCATATTTTTTGACTGCAATGGCCTTGAGTGAAATATGTGTATAAATACAAAATGTCACTGAAGACATAATTCGGTTGGTTAAATACTTCTGGACACTAAATATTTTAAAAAATAATAATAAAAATAGCTTTAAATAATTTAAACCAAACCAAATGCTCGGTGCCACAGACTCGTTTTGAACATCAACTTTAAGTGAGATTTGCATCAGAGTGAAGTAACAGGATCAACAGGCTCTCCAGCGCCACCCAGGCATTTGGAATCAGCATGTAAGCCTCTCAGTGTTTTAGAGGGTTTACTGAAAACTGTCCATCAGTATTGGTAGTTCTTCCAGGTATGGTGGTCCGATACAGCGTAGGCAGCAAGCGGGGAAGTAGCGGTCAGGCTGGAGGGCAGGATGATTAACCACTCCAAGCCCTGGCAGCATGGCCTTAGCAGCATATGAGACATGCCAGCCCAGTATAATTGCCTTATTAGGATAATGGTGGTAGTTACAGGCTTCATCTTCCTCCAGGTAATTCTAGCTATCTGCACAGTGAATAGAATTCAATACCTGCAAGTGTTTTTTGTCAAAGGGGTGCTTTAAAGTGGACATGCAGCCAATACAGGAGGATCTGTTTTTGTTTGTTTACACCAAGCATACGCAACAGAAAATGCACAGTTATTATGGCTAGCAAATCATCTTTTTTCCCCCTTCTCAGTGTTTTCTATTCATGAAATATATATATTTTGGCTGTTTTAACCTGACATGATAGATTGTGTGAGCTATTTGATAGGTTCTGTGGTTGGCAGGCTCACTGAATGAAGCTGGCCAAGTCTATCGGTCATTCCGGGTCTCTTGGACTCTTTAAAACCAGTATGCTGCTATTGGCTTAAATGTGTAGGGATAGTTGGCTCTCATAACACAGTCTAGCAAGAAGTAATTTGATCCATTGTTTTGCACAGTAATGTGCGCTTCAAGGCAAGAGCTGACAATGATGCATCCTGAATAATTTGGCGTTGAGCAATCTAATGTCAGGCCTGTGAACGTTGCAAGTTGGACTCTGAATGTTTTACCAATTTTTGTCCCACTTTCACTAATGCTTTGAAAAATAGTAAAGTGTCCCACTGACAAATTTAGAAACTCAGGATAGACTTTAAGCAAAAAAAGGACTGTTGCCTCACGGCAAGAAGGTCCTTGTTTTGAATCAACTGAATTAGGATTGTCTTGTTGAAATATAAAGTTTATACCAGCCGTCATGTGAACAGCTTCTGCATTTACACTTAGCAGAAATAAACCAAGTGATAATGATTAAGCCCTGTGTCAGACTGCCAACCTGTCCATGGTCTACCCTGCCTTTCGCCCTGAGACAGCTGGGATAGGCTTCAGCCCCCCCCAAGCGGAAGAGAATGGATGGATGGATGATAATGATTAATAATCATAATGATCATCCAGTCTCACATGAGTCTAGATAAACAGTTTTTATTGTTTATATATTCTTGTTTTGCAACTTTCACAAAGCATTTGTGAAACATTGGTTTCATAAATGTATTACATTTTTAAAGTTCTTTTTTACAGTGACTTAGTAGCTTTAGCTTGTTCCCCTGATCAAGACTCACCGAACAGATGATGCTATTGTGGGACCTGAATGTGGCACTGAATAACATGAGTGCACATACAAGCGTGCACTTTTCTCCTTAGACTTAAATATTAAAATAACACATTTTCTTTTCCTACAGGAAGGAGCTGTGGTAGCCCTGTTTAAGATCTGCAGACAGGACCGCTTCAGAGATCTCTACGCACACGCTTTAAGAACAGTGGCCTCCATCTGCTGTGTGGAGGAAGGCATTAACCAACTGGAAAAGGTAAAATTCTCCGCCTTACACACTCAGGTACACATGTATGTGTATAAGGGTGTGCAGCGATTTACAGATAAACTGTGAATAAGTAAAGGTGGCCCCAAAGGAAATTTGTCATTAGTTTGTGGTTAGAATGAACAAATCAAATAAAGTGGGGAAGAATAGCACATGTACCTCACATGCATGAGGCACTATTTCCAGACTTTCAAGTAATAAACAAAAATGGGTACACGCACGTATTTAAGATATAAGGGGAATGAGAGATTACATCAGTCTGGAGTAAAAGTAAGTCAATAAAATAAATCCAGTAAAAACCGTGAGTAGCTCCAGTCCAGCCAGATAATGTTTGGCTGAAGTTGTAAGTCAGTAGTAAGATATGACTGCATATATATATATATATATATATATGTATGTGTGTGTATATGTATATGTATATGTATATGTATATGTATATGTATATGTATATGTATATGTACATATGTATATCTATATGTATATATATATGTATGTATAGTTTATTTTCACAGGTGAAAATGTGAACATATATATATAGTTAATGCTTCATGCAAGACACATGAGGTGGTGTCATTGCTGATGGTGCTAGTGTTTAGCAGTAATTAAAATTACATTCCCTAAAAATGTTGCTCATTACTTCTGGGCCATGTGAGACTCACCTCAGGTAAAGAGTATAAACATACTGCTGCTGGTTTCTACATTTGGCTGCTCTCAGTTGCAAAATGAAATGTGGAAGCTGTCAGTCAGTTCCAAATTTAACAGCAACAGCATTGTGTCTCACAGTAAATAATTGATATTCATGTGGCAGCTTTTCATTCTTCACAAGTCCATTTCTGACTCCTGAACAACTGCCTGTATTTTTAGGGAGTAAACTTTCAACAACAGTAGCTGAGCTGCGCACTTTTCTTATTTACTTGATTAAATTTTCATGAATGAGCTCACTAGCTCCAGTTACCTCAGAGCCGAGGACCTACTATTAAACACTGCTGTGTAATTTAAAGCTGAGGAAATGTTATATTGCGTAGGTGAGGGAGGTGCGTAAGCAAGGTACATGTTTTGCTCTTCTGGAAAAATTATATAGTGAATACACCAAAATATAACTCATGAATGTGTGTGTGTGTGTGTGTGTGTGTGCGCGCGTGTGTGTGTAGGAAATAATGTGAGACAGGCAGAGGAAAGACTAACGATACATCCATCTTTGTTCGTCCTTGTTCATTCTCTATGGAGAATTCAACCAAAATAAACAACAGACGCACCTGTGTGGGACGAGCGTTTACAGAAAGACAAATATAACCTGATTGCAGTGAATAATGATGCCACAATGGTGTCTGTTCACATATAGAGCAGCTGGGACAGCATGAATCATCCGTGCATGAAAACTCTTTAATGGGAACCAAAGTCCGCCCCAGATTAGCATAGCAGCCTCTTCCAGGGGGAAAAGCTGTCAGGCAAGTCTACGCTACCAACCGCTCACTGGCGATTCGCTCAGGCTTGAGAAACACAACTGTCACCGTTGAAGGATCAAATAAAGGGGGCCCATAACGCACCTGCAGTGCTCACTGGTGGCTATACTTCTTAGTTTTATCCCCAACCGGATCATTATGTAATCATAACATTTCCAGGTGAATTCAGGAAAGGCAAGGTTGGTTATTGATTCAGAAAAGATATGCTCAATGAACAAAGAAAAGGAACAGCTTTGCATCGTGGGCAGAGAGCATGGGTCAGTGCGATATTTAACTGACTGAAAGTGAAGGTTTCAACCCACACTCGTAAAATTTCAAATAAGAGTTCAATAAGCAGTGGCCACACTCGAAAAATATTTTATGCCCAAAATGCTGACTTTAACTAACCTGATTACTGTAAATGTTCCATGTAATTCTTTTACATAGGCACATTCTAAAGCAGCGGTCCCCAACCCCCGGGCCTCGGACCGGTACCGGTCCGTGAGTCGTTTGGTACCAGGCCGCGAGAGTTGAGGATCAGGTGTGAAATGTATGGTTTTCAGGGTTTTTATCGCTTTTCAGCATTATTTTGTTATCGTTTTTATCGTTAACTTGGTTTTCCTGGGTCTTTTCACGTGTGTTATGAATAAATCTTATTTTTTTCGGTACCGGTACTAGTTTTATTTTGTTGTATTTATCCGTGACACCTTAAAGGCCGGTCCGTGAAAATATTGTCGGGCATAAACCGGTCCGTGGCGCAAAAAAGGTTGGGGACCGCTGTTTTAAAGTGTTAAAGTCTTGGAATTTGGTAAAAGGAAATTTACTTGATTGGTATACATTAATTTATACCAAGCATATTTCCTTAGTGATACATTATTTCAATAAATAACACTTTTATTTCACTTGCATTTTACTTGAAAGTATTCCTTCATCTTTATTGATGGTAAAGAATCTTTTTTTTTCAGTGTGTAGGGTTGTACCAGGAGATTTAGCACGAAGTTGGCTATTGCAGCACCAAGACCTTATGAAATTCTCTCTGTTCTACAGTATGTCCTTTCCGTGATCTCAGTCACAGCAGGGATCTACCACAGAAACACTTCAAACTGTGAGCAGGTGTTAAACTATTTCTTTTAATATTCCTAGTAAAGAAGGAAAGTTATTTGTCATTTATCCTGATGATAAATGAGACACATCCTCTGGTCTGATAGACGAGGAGCTGGGGATCATCCTATTTTAGCGAGGAGGAGGAGTTAGGGAAGAGGGGACAGGGGAGCAGTCGATGAACGGAGGTGTAGAGAGTAGATTGTTCCACGTCAGTGGGTCGCGCTGGCACAGTGCTGCTGACGTCCACAGAGACAAAAATAGGGAATTGCCCTGTGAAGCTTGGTGCGTTGATGCTCGTCAGCAGATATGACTGACAGGTGTGGCTGGCTGAGTGCTCCACTCCAGATATCCGTCTGCAAACTTGTGTAAACTGTTTTCAGGAGTGACGGCAAGCAAATTTGTTTTATCATGAATGGCAACAAAAGCTATGATTGAAAAATGACTGCAAACTCTAAAGTAGCTGATGTTTAGAATACTGCAGTTTTCCCGTGCATACATTCAAGTATGATTAAAACGTTTAACTTGTAGTTCTGACTTTTTTCACAGTATCCTCTGACTTTCAACTCTTACAGATATGAAAAATTTGTTCAAAACTACTGCAGAGATTTGCGGAGTAGCCGCTAACATCAGTAGCAATGTTTGCATGAACTGATCAACACTGCCCCCAAGTGGATAGAAACCTGTCCTACCTCTTTATTTCCTCGTTCCTCTACAGTCTTACAGCCACGTACAAACAAATAAGCAAACACAAATTCATTGGAGCATACATTAAATCAATACATGACCTCATGCCCACAAGAAAAGTTTTGTTTATAGGGATGAGTACTTCCTTCTCTCCTATAACTCTGAGTTCCTCCCTTACTTCCTCACCGATGATGCACACGCTCTGGGTCGATGCCAGTCAGATATACAAGTTTCTCAGCAGCACATTAACTCTAGTAGTTGGCCATTAAAAGGAAGTGGTGTTTTTAAAATATTGATGGCTTTATGGGGAGAGGTGCTGGCTTTAGTCAAGCTGATGCCATGGAAACGTCACTGTCCGTCTGGACAGCCACTGCAAATGTGTTGTTAGTTGAAGCTCTTCAGCTTAGGAATCAGAAATGGGTTTTAAGAACCACATTGAGGATTCAACATGTTTGAGTTTTCCTCGCATCTGTGTTGTTTTGCCAGTGCCTGATCCTGAAACAAATTCTAATAAATAGAACCTTTAATGAAATGTTAGTAATGAATCCATATCCTTTACATTTTGTTAGTCTAAGCTGTTTACGATCAAGGTTAGCGTGCTAACGTGTGAGACCAAAGATGACGCAGGCCACTGTATATCATGTGACGATAAGCCATCAGTTAAAACCTCTTGTCTCACAGTGAAATAAAGTACATGTACATAGTTTCCCCATTCGCCGAGCAGCTATATTTCTGTTTGCGCGCAATTTTGGAATAAAAGAAATAAGACAAATAAGTGAGTATGAAAAGAATATGACTGCGTGTTTCCACTGCAGCAGTAAAACAGTCCCTGCTGTATGTCTAATAGGTGGACGGGATCCTGTGCCTGGCAGACATCTTGACTGATGACAGCAGCGTGGAGGCAGCCAGAGCTGAAGCGGCAGCTGTTGTAGCTCAGATCACTTCGCCTCACCACACATCCACTCAGCACCTCGCCAGCTTCCTGGAGAGCATGCACGACATTGTCACGGCGCTCATCAGTGAGTGGACGCAGTGGTGATGACCTCACTCTGACCACTGATTTATAGGAGGAAAAAGTTGTTTTGATTTCATAGAAAATTATGAGTACGTGATTGTTTTAGCACAAGGCTAAACTTTACTACCTTACTGAATTTCTTTTAAACCTCTATAAAACTCTAAACAAGCGAAAGAGAGGGGATCAGTCGTATATTTTGTGGTTTGCTTTACTTGCATTTTGGATGTTACGGTGTATTAATAATACCCCTGCAGTTTGGTACGTTACGTCTTTTTTTTTTTCTCTCAGAGTTGTGTGAGACCGCATCCTGTGGGGAAGTGTTCCTCCTGGCGTCGGCTGCCTTGGCCAATATCACCTTCTTCGACAGCATGGCCTGTGAGATCCTCCTGCAGCTTAATGCCATCCACATCTTACTTCAGGCCTGCAAAGACCGCCAGAGAGTTGACACACCCTACTCCAAAGACCAGGTACATGTTTCCATGTATGCAATGTTTTTCTTACTCTAAGTGTCACATAATAATAATAATAATAATAATAATAATAATAATAATAATAATAATGGATTGGATTTATATAGCGCTTTTCAAGGCACCCAAAGCGCTTTACAATGCCACTATTCATTCACTCTCACATTCACACACATGTATGCAATGTTTTTCTTACCCTAAGTGTCACATAAAAGCAAACATACTATATAATTACACTATTACTAACAATAATGCAAAAATCAACCTGTTTTTAAGCAGTGCTCTCAACTATAGTTCTTTGCCAGACCTTTAATCATTTTGTTTTTGTTTAAATCGTAGGTGGTGACAATCTTGGCAAACCTGTCTGTCTTAGAGCAATGCGCATCTGAAGTCCTGCAAGAACAAGGTAGTCTGTTTTCTAACTATAGCTTTTTGTTCCTTTTTACCCATATTTGGGATTTTTTTCCCTGGCTACACTGCAGTTTAATCAAGGTAATACACTCATGGGGCCTCTTCATTAGGTACACCTGTAAAATCTAATGCACTCTATTACAGCAGCTCTGAAATAAACTCTCCTTTAATGAAGCCTCTACATTTTCAGTTTTTGCTAATGTTTTCAAAAAGGTGATAATTTATACTGGTGGTTAGTGTTGTTGTACTGGACTGGAGCATTCCTACACATTTGTTCCGCCCACCTCTTGTACCTAAGAGGTTTCAAATATTAGGAACTCCTTTAAACTTAATACTCCACTAAACCTCCAAAATGAATATAAAACTTTAAATTAAATTAATGGTAGTGGAAACTACCAAACTGCTGACTAGATGAAAGTAAAAGTGAAACGCTTCAGTGTAATTCTTTTTTATTCCTCAGGAGGGCAGCATCACTTTAATTTCTGTGAACTAGCTTAGAAGAGCTGAAAACATCAGACATTGAACATAAAAATATATATATTTTTAATAAAGAGGTATTATTTGTTAAATAGAGTTACATAGAGATAATATGTGTTTTGTATCATTTTGTAATCCTTTCATCATTCCCATTTGTATTTTTTCAAACTCTTTTCCTTTTTCTGTTTAACGTATTCCACTGGCTCTGTACTTCTTACACTATAAAAGAGTGAGATAGATAGATGTGTCTGAGTCACTGTCTCAGTCTCACACTATCGAATGTTGGCAGTTTCAGTCTCTTTTTCTGCTCATTAAGGCCAGTTTGCTTTTATTTTTCATACGAGCACCTCAGTGGAAAAAAAATCTGATTGTTTTTGTTACAAAACATTTTTATCATGTATTAAGCAGCTAAAAATGATTTAGATTTATTATCTCTCAATGTCACTTTATGAGTTTTGGCCTTTGAATTATAGCATTGCCCTTAGGGTGTTAGCCTTATAACTTATTTTTCAGAATAATTTTGAAATATTATTTAACAATAACTGGCTGAAGGGCTGACTGACTGCCTTCAGTAATTTTTTTCTTTATTATACTAACTGCACTTTTTCTATATCCTTTCTCACAGGCATGTGTAGAAAGTTTTGCTTCTTTCTTTTTCACTTGAAACCTTGACTCTTGTGTAACTTTTTGTCTGGAAACTTTCAAGTCTCTCTAAATGTGTTGTTTTGTTCCTGCTCTTATATTACATTTTACATTTTGCTGGTTCCTATGTGTTATTCTCCTGCCTGGCTAATCTGTGCTGAATATTATATATTCAAGGTATAGAAAGACTGCTACTGTTGCTGGGAGAAAAACCATCCTCTTCCAGTCCATCAGAGGGCGCTGCCTGTGAGCGTGTCCAGCAGAAAGCTGCCGTCACACTGGCCCGACTGAGCAGAGACCCTGATGTGGCCCAAACAGCTATCCAGCTCAAAGGTAGTGAGGCTTTGTGTCTTTTGGAACACTTAACAATTATCTTATTTATTAAATATCGCATTGTACAAAATGTACAAAAGAAGTAAATGAAATGCATTTTGTACAAGGTGATATGTGTATTTAATAAAAAAAATTGTTAAATGTTCCAAAAGACACACACGTCCAATCCACACATCTGGCATAAGTAAACTAATATATAAAACACACACACACACACGCACACATAAGTGCTGTAAGTCTGTCGGTGGCCACTAGAGGGTCACAGACAGACAGTAAGTAGGAAAATGGAAAGTATTTTGTTTCTGTTTTATCAGTTTTGTAGCTTTTTAAAAAAAAAAAAAGTCTGTTTTTTGTTTTGTTTTGTATATTTATGCAACCATCTTAATACAAACATATGCATTTATGCAATTCAATAAAATCTATTTTACATTGCGCCAATTCACAACAGTTGCCTCAGAGAGGTTTATATTGCAACGTAAAGCCACTACCGTAATCAGATGATCAGCTGGTTTTGACTGACATAAGTAAAAATGATTTTGGCCACATAAAGATATTAGTTGGATATCAAATCCTCATAATCAATACTCTTTAAAAAATGCCTGATAGACCAGAGGGAAATAATTTAAGAGTATTGGTTGTACATATGTTATTCTGCATAGCTGATTTTTCTGAATCCTTTAATCTGAATTTGAAAAAGTTACATGTTTCATAGTCTGTATCAGAAGTGACAGAGCGACTGAATCTCTCTTCTTTTTTAAAGGGGTGGTATTCAATTTATTGATCACAGAATGCTAAAAAAGACTTTTACCCAGAAGTCTACAACACACAGCTACAGTTGCTCTGTTTGACATCAAAGAGTTGGACAAGCTGCTAACTGAAATGTTCCTCTGTTGTCTTTAGCTGTTCCTCGCCTTATTGAGCTGTGTCGCTCCCCTACTGAGAGAAATAACAGTGACTCTGTGCTGGTGGCTTGCCTGGTAGGTGGAAACCGTGTGTTTTTATTTGTGTGTGCACATACAAACCTTTACATATGTGTAAATTATTCTGTGTACTGAATACAAATACATCATTCAAACTCACAAACTGCCTATTTAAATTTGACTCCTAATATACTATACATTTTCAGCGGTAAAAGTAAGTGCAATACACCACAGGCCCACAATCAGTGCTCCTAATATTGTCCTATTTAATTACATTTAAAAGGCAATTTTTAAAAAGCGGAAAATATATCAACCTTATCCTCTCCAAGCCACGCTGAGAAAGCACCATTTCAGACGCTGCGTGTTTAAATATGTACATATCATGAATAATATCTCTGCTCATACATTATCATTCTGACCATAATTATTGAGACCAGATCTTGGGGCTGATGAGGGGATTTGAAGCACATAATGGTCAGGAGCTTAATTGGGCTGCCTCGCTGCGCTGAGAAATGCCTTCTTCTTTACTGTAACCACACTCAGTCTATTCAAATTAATGCGATTCCATCTTATCCTTTTGGCCAAGGGTTAAGTAGCGCGTTTGTAGATGTTGAAGTTTTACCTTCAAAAGACGCCGAGCTTTCACAGATCATTTGTAATTTTCAACATAAATGTTGGAGGCTCTCGTGGCTGAATGGATTAGAGGCATCATGTGTAAAACTTGTGCGCTCTTCAAATAAAGCGAGACACTGGGAAAAACAAAAAACAGGGTGATTTTAAAGAACTTCTAGCCCAGTAAAGGTTATAGGATTGAATTTGGTATTTTCATTACAGTTTCTTGCTGAAAGTGTAAGGATGCATAAGTTTCTTTTTGGTTGTCAAGCCATATTATTCATGTGCAGTTGCCTGTATGCATGATTGCATATTTACTGTATATGTGCAGCACAATGATGAGATATGATAACATGAATGTCTGTGTGGTACGTGTGTTTGCTAACACGCTTACTGTGCATGTCTTCAGGCTGCTTTGAGGAGGCTGGCAGCAGGCTGTCCAGACAGCATCGAGGCAGCCGACCACCAGCAGCTGATCAAACCACGTCTAGTTGACTCTTTCCTGCTGTGTTCCAACATGGAGGAGAGCTTTGTATGATCCCCTGCACACCAAATCACCGAGAGTGAAGAACTCTCATTGTCAGTACAAAACCGCGCGTGTTCTGAAGGAGTGTATCTGTTTCATGACTACAGCTTTGTTTGAGTCTAAATTTCTCGTTCAGTTAATAGGAAATAGCTGAATAGATGCAGAGGACATATAAATGTGTATAAATGTGTTGCATAGTGCAACTCAGTTTTCAGATTAAATGCAACAAACATGTATGTTGTTTTAGGAAAACGTGGGTCATTATTTCATGTTATTCCACAGAGAATTTCATTATTTCATTAATCATAACAGTAAGTATTTGTATAAGTAGATGAAACGTTTTGAAAAAAAATGCAATGAAATGCTTTAAATTTGACCACTGTGCAATTTTTTTTTACATTGTTTCTGAAGCGTTTTGACTCTATAAAAGGTTTCAGAGAAAACTGTCAATCTGAAATGTCTATCATTTAAGAACTGAGATTTAGTTTTGGTTTATTTTTTCCTCATCTCCTTCAAATAATAAACTTTTTCAGTGAGCAACCTTTTTTTAAAATAACTAAGTAAGTAAATTATTACCACTGTCGTGTATGTTTTTGTTTGCTTTTGTTACAGTCATGTGAAAAAGAACGTTTTTCTAAGTAAACTAAGCAGCCCTGTAATTTAATAGCTTAGTTTAATAGGAAACAACTCTAGCAGCAATAACTTAAAGGATGACTGAAATATGAGCTTATCGGTCTGTCAAATCATTGTGGAGGAGTTTTGGTCTATAGGCATTTGTTTATACACAGCTTGCTTAAGGTCCCTCCCACAGTATTTAATTTGGGTCGAGGTCTGGACTTTGGGTCACTGCAAGGCCTTGAGCCATTCCTTTTTGAGCCATCCTGTTGCTGATTTGTTGCAGCGCTTGGCATCATTGTCCTGTTACATGAGCCAATCTTGACCAAGCTGGAGCTGTCAGACAGAGGAGTTTTTGATCAACTCAGTGAATACAAGGTCATTGTTAATTGAGGATTATGGTGATAATTACACATGTAACTAACAGAGAGAAAAAAAAAAAGTCCATTAATTAATTAAGAAACGGGTTAACCGCTAACAGTCATGGTTAATTTATCTTTCAAAGCTCCCAGACAGGCAATGTAAAGGAACCCAATTCTCCTATCTTCATTGTGTCTTAGTTAAAAGATGCCAAAAAGATGCTTTAGCCAGTGCCTTAGTGAAGGTCATTTTGGTATTTTTGAATGCTGTCGCTTATTGAATGCTGTAAAATCTTCTGTTTTGTTACAAAGAAATAAATTGTCTTTGGTCAGTGCCTGTTATGTGCTATGACAGTACATGGTAGCACAAGAGTGTATACCACACAGAAAGAGAGAAATGTTTTAACCCAGTAGTTCAGAACAGCAGAATACGTTGTGAAGCACCACAGTCTGTCTTTTCATCACATTTTACTGAGGTCAAGAGCAAGATGTTGTGAATTTTAGGGCTGTTAAGAGTGCTCTGTATTTATAATATCTATCATTATAGAAAATGAAATCACTAAACAATAAATACAAACAAATGTCTGGTTAATAGCCTATTATTGAAGACACGGTTTACTGTGTATTTAAATCATAAAGCAGGTTTAATAAATATATTTATAACAATAATAAAAGCTTTTCTAAAGAACCTACAGACAAATGTCACCCCTGGATTTAAGGTGTTTATCCAGTGTATTATATTCCAAGGTGTTTTCATTCAAAAGTCTGTAAGCACTAACGCCGCCTGCTCAGCAACAAACTGCAGCTCAACACAACAGATAGCTCGCAAACTTTGTGGACTATTTAGCAAACCAGATATTTCCCCTGTAGTTGGTAGAGAGCAAATGCGGATCTGAAAGAAGGTAAATATTAGACTTTTACGCACCAGACCACACAAACGTACCTGAAAGAAATCTATCACACTGCTTGGGCAAGTAAGTAACTGCTAACAATGTAGCCAATTAATTAAAAGGGGCATGTCAGTACTATTTTACTATAGTACTGCCTATTGTTGCTAAATAGGCAAAAAACAAAACACCAGATATGTGAAAAGCTTTTGAATGAGGCTCACAGGGAAACATCAAAGTGACGAGACTAAGAGATGGTGGATCCAAAGATTTACCTATTGGTCCTCGGTGCACCACCGAGTTCTCTGAGAGAGAGTCTAAGGAGCCTGGAAAGAAAAGTGTCTGGACTTCTTTAAGTTGCTTGAAGACGTTTCACCTCTCATCCGAGAAGCTTCTTCAGTTCTAGGGTCAAATGGTGGAGAGTCCCAGATTTAAGCCCTGTCCACCAAGAGGGACAATGGACCCCCTAATGATCCTCTACCTAATCACATGAGCCAAGGAGTGAAAATGGGTGTGGATCACAATCAGCCAGGGTTTCGGGTGAGTTCATTGTGAAACCTGGCCCCATCCTCTCATGTGATTTCCTGAGGTCAGATGGCCCAGGATGTGAGTGGGCGTTAAGGCGTCTGGGGAGGGATCTCAAAACTGGATTATAGATGGCAGAGAGTTGGTGTCGTAAACCCCCGCCTCTGTTCAAAGATGGTCGCTCACAGTGGACATAGATGGCTTCTTTCACTCCTCTTTCAAACCATCTGTCCAAAATGTGAACATTGGCATCCTCGAAAGAGTGTCCTTTATCCTTAAGATGCAGATGGACAGCTGAGTCTTGTCCTGTGGAGGTGGCTCTTCTATGTTGTGCCATGCGTTTATCAAGTGGCTGTTTGGTCTCTCCAATGTAGAGGTCTGGGCATTCCTCGCTGCACTGTACAGCATACACCACATTGTTAAGTTTGTGTTTAGGAGTTTTGTCTTTGGGATGAACCAGTTTCTGTCTGAGCGTGTTGCTGGGTCTGAAGTACACCGGGATGTCATGCTTGGAGAAAACTCTCCTGAGTTTTTCTGATACACCGGCTACATAGGGGATGACAATGTTGTTGCGTCTGTCCTTCTTATCCTCCCTTGCTGGTGTCTGATCTTCTTTTCTGTGCATCTTTGCTGACTTGATGAAAGCCCAATTAGGATAACCGCATGTCTTAAGCGCTTCCTTTACATGTGTGTGTTCCTTCTTTTTCCCTTCAGTCTTAGAGGGAACATGTTCTGCCCGGTGATGTAGAGTCCTGATCACTCAGGTGTCGTCTACATATCTGTACCAGTGGCTGGGTACTCTCCCTTTAAAAGAGCCAAGAGCCTTTCTTTCCACTTCTTCCATGTAAAGGTTGGCTACAATAGGTGACAGCCATGTTTTTGCCTGTAGAAACCTTTGTTGTATTTGAAATATGTGGTGGTGAGGCAGACCTCTAACAGTGTGTGATGCTGTCTCTCTTTGAGAGAGAATTTTTCCCAAGTTGGAAAAACTTGTCATCAAAAGTTTGAGAATTCATTCATTTACAATAGCATTAAAAAGGACCTAACACCTCCCTATTATTGAAGAGTTTAACATTAAATTTTCACTAATGATTGGGAAATACACCAAGTAGTAGGAAAAAAGATGTCTGAGTGTCGATCTGCAAAATGTGTCCTTTGTATTGCCATCCCTTTGATAAAAAAAACACTCAGCTTTTTTCATAAGCCTTCCTCTCCTTGGAGAGACAATTGAGGGTCTTCTTGCTTTCACTGTAGCTTCTTTTTCACCTAAGGGCACTAATGCTGAGCCTGGACTTGTAACACTCCAACTCAGCACTGAGACAATTGAGTTGCTTTGTGTGTGCGCATGTGTGTTGTCCAGCATACACGTGGGACTGTGTTCACAGGCTTTTGTGATAGAATATGCTCCTGCCTCGCTTTGTTGAAACCTGATGAAATATGTATCAATAAAGAGGAGGACTAAGCAGACGGCCTAAAAAACACAGGTTCTTTTGATATTGTTTTGGTTTGACCATGATCATGAGACCAAGTATTGTAGCTTGTAGAGTTTTTCTCAGCTTCTTAGCTCTTGAACTTTCACTTTCCTCCCTCTACATCATCTTCAGTAGTCTGTGTATGTTGTTGCCATTCTTTTGTTTTCTTTCAGTAGCAATTTGAACATTTTTAAGGGGGTAATTAACAAATAAAAAATCAGCAAACCATCCATCTCTATTTTCATCAAAAATGGGAATGGAAATATTTGTACCCCCACTTGTACTATGCTAAACACTTTTCCAAACTATAGTTATATATACACCTGGCATTTGGGGAAGGAAAAGGATCAGAGGACTTCTAATGCAAGAAGACACTTCTCTCTGGCTCCCGTGAGACCTGAATATTTTATGTGTCACATCTTTTGCTTGGAAAACTTTTTCTCTGTCTTCCTCTTTTTATTTCAGCAAACAATGATTGAAATTTCTCCTTCTTTAAAAAAATGCTTTCAGAAGTTGATAGAACTTCACTTCTCCAAAACTCACAAATTAGGAAGAAATAATGTGTCCAAACTTTGTAGATAATTTCTTTTGGTCAAGGGATTAAAATGATGCAAGTCTGCATATTTTCAAGATGCATATAAAGAAATGTGAAATCTTGTTTCTGTTGTTAGACAAACTGTATCTTAGGCTATCTAAGACCCAAGGTCTCCATCTATAACATGAAATGCCATGTGTTTTTTTTAAATAATTGTAAGATTACTATAGCAGTAGGTGCTTTTTAATAAGGCTTTGGAAATAATAAAATTGACAGCACAAGAGCAGCAACTACACTGCATCTCTATTTCCCAACAAACATGCTTGGCTCAGTTTACCTGTAAAGCAAAAGATCAGTGGTTCAGTCCTGGGCAGAGACAAAAATCCCTTTAGGGTTGCTTTAGGAAGGGCAACTGGTGTAAAAACTAAAATGAGTTTTTAGTGCAACCTGCATCTTAGGACACATCGTAGGAATAAGAGAGCAGCTGAAAGTAACTCTAGAAGTGTACTTTTAGCAGCTTTATTAGGGCGTGTTATTTGCATACTGTTCTGCTGCATCAATGAAAGAAAAAATGTATTTAGCTTTCAACAGATCGACTTGTAGTGTTTCTAATTGTGGTCACATTTGCTGTCTGGTTTACACAGGCTTCCTTTTCCCAAATGTTTTACTAAGTGTCACAATAAAATGTTGTGGACATTAAGTTATTGCTGTTGACAGCACAGATACTGTATTCACCTTTTTTTTTAAAAAACTCAAGAGACGTAATTTCACATCACTTGCAATTTTCCAGCAGCTACAGACTTTTAGCTTTAGTTCTACATTCTTTCCATGACTCTTCCAGAGTAAAACAAGCTGCCGTTGAGAGACTTGTACTTTCAGACTAGTTTTACACCATTCCTTTGGTTGAATGAGCTCATTAGAAAAACCTAAATCAACAAAAACCATTAGTATCTGTTTATTTATCTCAGTCAATGCACTGCTAACATTTCTGCAACGATACACGCACGCACACAGAGACACACACGATCCCACATTAGTATCATCTTGCAGCACATATAGACCTCAGAGTATAACGACTAATTATGACTTAAGTGCCATCACTGTTGGACAGCCAATTAAAGAGTAATATTCCTGTTTACTGATAACTCCCCAGTTGGCCTCTTTTGAGGACCCAGTGGGATTTTAATTGCTAAAATACAACCACAACGCTGAGAGTAATTAATATCTGCACTTGTGGTTGCAACTTTTGGCCAAAGGCAGTGGAGGGTAAAAGCTTAATGCCATAAAAATGTCCAAGAATGTGTGCAGTGCAGAAGCTCCCTTTCATAATTTTCTTCTGTGTCTTGAAACTGCAGAATGAATGCAAGAATAAATGTTATGCAATGAAAACAAATCACGCGTGGGCAAATGGCATTTTCTTCTCTTTCTTTTTGTTATAAGTACTTTGTCAGAAGGTAATTCACCACTAAAAACATTTTGTATGTCAGCGTCTGTTTTTGTTGGTTTTGTGATTATGAATTTAAGAGTTTTACATGAGCAAACACTTGGATCTGCACGTTATTGATTTCACAGTAATCCATTAATCAGTCTTTACAGTGATGAATCGTGGTTGCTTTATTTAGGGGTACTTTGGGAGGCAGAGTCCCATCAGAAAAAATGTCTTTAAATAAAATCTGAGTGATCCCTAATATACATTTTAATTCAGTCCAGTTCAATTCCATTTAATTTATGTAGCATCAAATCACAACAAATGTTACCTTAAGGTGCCTTAGTATGCATGGTAAAGACCCTACAATAACATAGAGAAAAGCCCAACAGAAGATCCCCTATGGGCAAGCAATTGGTGACAGTAGTAAAGAAAAACTCCCTTTTAACAGGATTAAACCTCCAGCAGAACCAGGCTCTAGGAGGGACAGCCATCTACCACAACTGTTTGGGGGTGAGGGGACATACACCAGGATTTGCGATCCTAAACATAGGGGCACCACTACATGTATGTAAAGGAAGTCTGTCTGAGGCACAAATGACAGTTGTGTCAAATTCTGAACTTTTCATAATAGTTTAAATAGAATCTAAAGAAGAAAAGACTAAAAGCCTTTAGACTTCAAACCTGTTGCAAAAAAAAATATGAAATTACAACTTTTTTGGATGCAAATGTGTCATTGAATGTATA